TTCTCTTTAACCTTCTGCTGGACATTGTATTAATTTCTCTCTTACTTCCAGATTTAATCAGCGATGTCTGTAAAGTGGTTTGTTCTCACTTTCATGCTAGTGCTCTTTTGCTCGAAAACCAATCACGCCGGAGCAAAGAGCGATCGAAAGCTGATGAAAGTTGCTCGAAAAAAATCTCTTGAAACTCTCCAACATGCCTCCAATCTAAAGACAAGCTGGTGCATGGCTACAGATATCGAACAATCTATTCAAGAGGAGGGCTGCGAAACGAAAGTCATTCAGAACAAAGCATGTGTCGGCCAGTGTTTTTCATACTACTCACCTGGAACTTTCCCTATGAGGTCTGCAAGAAGAAGGACAAAGTACTGCTATTTCTGCAAACCTTCTTTAAAAAGCTGGACCAAAGTGAGTCTGGAATGTCCTGGAAAGGAGCACAATCAAGTGGACAAGCTGGTGGAAGTGATATACGCGTGCTCGTGCAGGAAATGCTCGAAAGGCCCAAAAAGTTCAGAAAACTCATCAAGATGAGATTTAGCAAGATTTTGATTAATCTGATAAGTATGAGTGAGAAATTTGATAGTTTAAAGTTTCGGTGACAGGTCGCTTTCTAGAAATTTTCAAAGGCAGGAAATCGCGGAAAAGGAGAGATTGAGTGTGATTTTATGAAAGGTTTTTTGTGACGGGGATAGGGATAGGGGTGGGGAGGCGAAAATTGGGAGATTAGACAGGATAAGACCGGTCACCAGAACCTATTTTACCATTTGTTTATGCAATATCAATGGTCGTGGATGAACAATTCTATATAAACCACTAATTTATAATGGTAATAGGACCGAGTGGAGTCCAGTTCGATCTGTAATCATACGATCATACGATTAATTAGTAAACTTGGACAACCGCGCAGCGGGAGTCCAATTTGTCAGACGAGTATGATTACAAACAGAATTGGAAGACAAAAAGTCCTGTTACCAAGTAATCATAACCGTTACAATTTCCGAAAACAACACATACATTTAGGTCAAATATCTCGGGTAGAGACGATGTCTAAAATAAAAAAAGTTTCTCCATTTTGGAAATTCCTCTGTTTTCTTTTTTTAGGATGAGTAGTTGTTGCTATGGTTATTGTTATAATTTCTGCGATTGGTAAATTTTGGCTGGGTGGACTTGGTAGCATGATTGGCTACTTCAACTGTCCTAGTACAGCCAACTGTCCGATTACAGCTCTACAGAATGATAAGTGAAAAATAAAGCAGCTAATGCATCAATCACATTTGAGGAAACTGCAATGGTTATGATTAAAGCTACAATATTAATACAGACATGCAAAGTAATGCTAGGTCAAATTGTAAATATAACCAGCACTAAGTGGATAAACAAACACATGAATGAACAAATAAACAACAGTTATCGATCAAGTGCCCGGATTTTTTTATTATTATTTGGAAGCTGTCATTGTCATCATCACTCTAATTATGATAATTATTTATACTCTTTTACCAACAAGATACCAAGAGCGTGAATTATTCTCTTGTGGCCAGTTTATGACTATTAATCGAGTTTACACCGACACACAGCAGGGCATGTGCGAGGGGATCAATTCTGGCCGGCCGTGCGCCAATTTACCGCGCAAAATTTCAAAACAAAACGTAAGAAAAAACTGCTGCCTCGCTACATAAGTGAAAGAAAATCGACATGCTAATGGAAATCTGTGGAAGGCCTGATAAAAGAAGGAAAAAATATATAAAACTCGAGACTTTCCGAACCCAAATTTTATCCACGCACGCACCCTCTTATCGTCCCAATCTGTTCCTTAATCAAAAACTACCGGTATTTGAATTAACTTCTTTTGATGGGGTGAAGTTCAGACCTTGATACATCTGCGCGTAAAGGCGACCTATTGACATGAAATAAGTTGAAAAAAAAAAAAAAGAAAAAAAAAAAAGAAAAAAAAAAGCATTGCTTGAGTACACCCAGCTGCCGGAAAAGCCAAGATCTCGGCTCCGAGCAGCGATTCTTTTGGCCAGCGCTAAAGGTCAATGTTCTCTGGCGAAAGCGATTTTTAGTTGCTTCATGCCTTGTGGACTAGTTTTCTCCGGATGCGCCCAGGAGACGGGACTGGTTGACTCAGCAAGCTGTTCTCTCCAGGACGAATGGGATTGAAAATGAGGATGAAGTTCTCCTTGCGGCAGGTCCGGTGCCAGCTTCGTCATGCACAAGTATTTTAATGGTGATTTATACTAAGCTTATTCGTATCTTCAAGAAAGGCCCTTGGAAATAAGATATACAGGACTATAAAAATAGAAAGCAATCCGCGGTCTTTCTAGCAAGTCCGCACCAGTTTTGTCTCGTTTTAAAAACGAGGATTCGCTTGAATTTGATTGGCTACAGTGAGAAAGCGCGAAATTTGATGACGTCAATAACTAATCGAACCTCGTCGCTCAATTTGGAATCCGCCATAGTTTCTGATCGCGTCTTCTCTTCGTGTCGCTTTGCTCTTCGAAAATGGCTACTGACGGTCAAGGCTACCAAACGTTTTCACCTGATGAAGGTCGAGCTGTAGTAATCGGCCTCTCAAAAGCACATTATAGAAGGGATACATCCCTTGTATATTGTTTATATATATTCCCTTAGCTCCGGTTGGAGCATAGGCCATTAACCACTTCCGTCCTCCATCGGGTTCTGTCCTGGGCAAATCTTCCTAAAGTGGCCCAAGTGTGGCCCCAGTTTCTCATTTGGGACTCTACACCTCTTCTCCAGGAGTTCCTGGGACGACCCCTCTTTCTCTTGCCCTGAGGGTTCCAACGTAGTGCCTGCCGGGTGATGTTGTTAGCCGGTTTCCTTAGGATGTGACCTATCCATCTCCACTTTCTCTTTGAGATCTGAGTTATGATTGGTTCCTCGCAATAGGGATGCTGACTTAGGAGAAAGAAGAGCAATCGGCTGTGTAGGATCCTGACGGCTTTCCCTACGCTGCGTCATATGCTGTCTGTGTGACGACCCCCTATTCCCCAAGTCGATGGTTAAGTTAAAATTGATCAATGATTCTGTAATCCGTTACATCCACTGCACGGGGGATTAGCCTATGCAGCTTCACCAGAGCCCTGTTAGCCAGCATTACCTGTTTCCACCTCTCACGACGAGGACGTAGGGTTGGACTTTGAGAGGCTGTATATTGTTTAGAAGTGCTTGAAAATGGGGAAGTCACTGGATTTCCATTTCGATTGCACAACGAGGATGGACGTTATATTTGGGAAAACGAACAGCTCCGACACAGAAGTATTACCCAGGGATCCCTCATCACCTTCAAGAGAAGACCAAGTTGGCGTTTTATCAACCCTTGCTACACTGAGAATACCGGAAAGAGCTTGGTGAGTAATATTTTGTAAATGAACTGCCTGTGATGTGTGACGCTTCTGTAAGTAGATATTACCCTAACGTTTGGCCAACGTTTGAGTGTAAAAGCATCGGTATTTAGGCCACAGTTCTCTTTCATTGAACGCAAGATGTCATCATTTCGCCACAGTACAATCCTTGAATTAGTATTCCGTCTGCTGGGGAGGTGCTCGTGAAACTAAGGTAAACAAAACCTGCGCGAAACGAAACAAATCTGTACGAAGCATAAACGACAGTGTTTTGTTTTCTGAATGGCTTTTGGCAAAGATTTCTGTAAAACCCCATAGTTTCTTATGTATGCAGTACTTAGATAAACGAAAACAGGGGCGAAACAATGGATTTTTTGTCCCTTTGCAACTACAGTAGTTGAAGTATGGGGCTGTATGGAAATCTCTCCATTATACTGTTTTGCTGAAACTTAATTGCCCCCTTGTAAGTTTGTTACCTTCCATTGTGTCACCATTATGACTGGTTTGCCCCATGCTTTGTTTCTTGGATGAATTTCACTAATTGACTGAGGGTAGCAGGCATTCATCTTCAATGTTAACACAACAGGGGCTTAATATGTGCTCATAAAGTGGATTTAACTCTACAGCAAAAGTGTTGTAAAGTCAAGCATTCACTATGACTTTGTGGGTCCCATCTGTTTAAGTGAATTTTTTTAGTACTGTGTTGTGTGATGAAGTTTTGAACTGACTCAAGTTATCATGAATAAATCCATCTTATACCAGTTTTACTTTATTTTCTGTTTACAGGGTATCAATACAATTCTTTCTCAACTACAATTTGGTAGTTCAGGTTATAAAGCAGTTGTCTATCAAGGGATTGCAGAGGGCTTTCCTACTGGTAAAATTGAAAATTTGAAGATCTATCAAGATGTTGAAGATGGACCCAGTCCTGCTTGTGCCCTCATCAGTGTGAAAGAGGCAACACTTGAGGACAGAAAAATCAAATTTAAAACCCTATTAGATGAGGAATGTTTTTTGAAGAACAACTGCCGGAACAATGGGGGAGGTGGTGTTGAGGAGCTTCCATTACCTGTCCAGGTTTCTTTGTCCAATCAGGGTGTTAGTAATTGTGTTCTGCTGGTCGAATTTGGAAGTAGACTTGATTCAGAATCCTGGGATTCTGACCGACACTATGCTGTGTGTGAAGCAGTCTTGATTAGCCAACCAGGCCCATTTGCCCTTGGAAGAAGACAAGACAGTTCTGGTGGAATTTTGGCTGGTATATAAGTAATTTTTCTTTCATATGTACAAGTTGATATGAAATGTTTTAGAGTGGTTTATCATGGAAAATCTTATGACTCATTTTAATTTTCTCAGTTCACTCTTCAGCCCAAAGGCAAGTATATGAAGAGGATAAGGAGTAAAAATTGTAATAGAAGGAAGAATGTAAAACAAACAGTTCAAACCAAGATACATTCATTTAAAAGGTTAATGCCTGCTCAAGGCTGTGTGGATCATACAATAAATAACCTAATTTTGTTGCAATATTGGTTGAAACTAAGAAACAAGCTCAGAGAAGGGGTCAACCCCCAACAAAGCTTTAATGCAAAATTAGTTCTGCCAGGAAAAAACTGCCAATGCTAAATACAACAACTATCTATGGGTGGTTGTAAGTATTACTACCCAATCAATCCAAGAGGGCATTGAGCAAAAGAAAACAATGATGCTTTTATGAACATCAGGTTTTATTTCCTTTGAAATAATTTGGCATATGGCTTGATGTACTTGGTGTATCTCGGAATATCAGAGCTAATTGCAATTATAAATGATTAACCCTTTGTTTCACCTCAAAAATTTGTGGTGCTATTGCCCTTGAGAATTCCAAGAGAGCTACAATGTATTAAGTGAAAGGCACATGATTTATATTTTTATTTCTTTGAATGTTTTTGCTAGGGTCCTCTCTTCTTAAAAGTTATGAAATGAACAGAAACCCTCGAGGGAAGTGTATCATCATAAATAACTCAGAATTCCAGGATGAAGCCTACAATCGCCCTGGTGCTGAGTTTGATGAACAAGCCCTGGAAGCCCTCTTTGAGTACCTCTCATTTGATGTGGAAATCTACCAAAATCTTGACTCACGTGATATGAGAGATCTTGTAAGGACCATAGCAAGTGAGAATCACAGTGAATCTGATGCTGTCTTTGTCATTGTAATGTCCCACGGAGGAGACCATGATACTGTCTTAGGTGTGGATCAAAGAAATATAACTGTTGAAGAAATGATGTCCGAATTTAAAGCTGCAAGGTGCAAAACACTTGAAGGAAAACCCAAGGTGTTTATTTTTCAAGTCTGTAGGGGTTCTTCCTCAGAATTTCTGGAGCATGAGAGACGTCATACTGACAACACTGTGAGTAGGCTTCGTGGTGACTCCACCCTCTCAAGAGGGACAAGCCCACAAGAAGCTGATTTTTTATTGGCCTTTGCAACTACCCCTGGGTATTATTCCTACCGAGATGAAGATCACGGTACACCATTCATTCAGGTGAGTATGAAAATGTTTATATATGTTTTTTATTGTTGTTGTTGTTGTTATCATCATCATCATTATTATTATTAGCAGCTTTTTGTTTCTGTAATTTCTAAGGCCTGGTCCTCCTGCATACTGGGTATTTTACTGTTATGATCAGCTAAGAGGATATTTTTTTTTGGTAAAGATTTTGGTGTCATTATTGGAGAGGTAATCCTACATAAATCACTCAACGCTGTCATTCTTAAGCTGCGTATTTGCCAGTTCTTTCCTGACTGCTACATATCACTGACATGATAATTTGCCTTTGTATCAAGAAAGTACCTTCCCAGTTGATAATTTCTAATTCTCACTGCTACTTAGGTGCCAATGTGTTGATATTGTAAGGAGATATTATGCACTCATCAATTCTTTTTAAGTCCAGTAGTTATGGACCGAAGCTTTTTAGAACTGGGAGGGCCCTCAAATGTCAATAGGGGCAACAACTAATCTTTAACTTTGGTCCTGATCAGACTCTTGTGGAAGTTCTTAGAAAACATCACCAGGAGAGCCATCTGACAGAGATGTTGCCAGAGGTAACCAGATGTGTGGTTGAAAAAGCCGAAAGAGATGGTTTGCAGAGTTACATTCAAGTTCCGTGTTACAGCAACTCGCTGAGGGCCAAGCTTTATCTCTGAGAGGATAATTTCACAAATTGCAAAGCAGAGAGCTAATTGATCTACTCATCAGCATACCACTCAGTAAATTCTTCTTTGTTGGGCAAAGACTGATCATTTTTGCAAAGGTATAATGTGTTTATGAGGTATCGTTGTATGAACTTAGAGTTCTTCAACTTTTAAGTATCAGATATTAGAGTGAAGATTTTCATTTCTTTCAAGCCAGAAATTAGCAGTTATTAGTATTTTTTTAAGAACAAAAGTCTTACATGTAAACTTTATATTTTAGTCACATAGTTTTAGGAAATTTATTACTCCTAATGCACACACAAAAAACTACTTTGTAAGACTTTAGGTTAGTATTGTCTTTACCGGTCAGGCAATAAAAAATGCTCAAGTTTGAAGTGCATGGGATAGAGCAAGCAGTGTACTGATAGTTCCTTATTAAAAGAGAAAAGTTTTTTTGTGGTATAGTTTACTGTAGTCTGAGTAATAGACTGTGCATAATTTAGTTATTTGTAACACGTTTGGCCATAACATGATATGAAATTAGATCAAATACAGTAATTGTTTCGACATTTTGTTATCTTTCATTAAGGTTATGATCCCATAATGGACACACCATGATTTAAATATAGTATTATGTTGGTTTTGGTTAACACAATTTGTTTGAGTTGCTAATGAATTCGTTGATTGAGCATTTCCTGAGAACTTTCCAGTGGTTTGCCTCTGTATATTTTTTTCTCATTTTCGTTGTAAAGTGAATCTGTCGGGTGTCTCTAATTAGTGCTGTGATATAACTGAACAAGTAATAAACTTTGAAAAAATTATGTATTGCTTAGGGTTAGGGTGAAATTTACATCCCATATACTTCTATCTTCTCGAACAGAGAGGCATGTACTTTGAAAACGAGACAATCACCAATACTCGATATGACGCCGACTCCCGAATATAAATAAAGGTAGGTATCTCACACTTAGTGGCTGACTGATGTATGTGGGATGTATAGACACCGTTGTGGTGTGTATGTCGTGCAAACATTAATTTTCTGGGTGGTCAACTTGTCGAAGTTAAATTATTTTAATCCTGACTAAAAAAGTCGCACTTCATCTTTAAAGGTATGTGAACGATTTTCCCTTTCCTTTTTTTTTCTTCTTCTAAGCGATAACAGCAACAACATCTTACTCAATAGTCGATTTAAATCTACGGCATAGTCTTTTGTATCAGTTGAAAAGTGTGAAGAACAAAGGAAAGGAAACAATCTTCCATGAATCGCCATGTCACGCTATGTGAAAATCAGTAGTCACGCGATTAATGAAGGTCATAACCAAATCTAATTGGATGAATGCCTGACCACGTGCACGTTTAGAAGAAGCGATCGATCTCGATAACTTTCTAGACATTTGGAGTTCATTTGAAGGCATGACTGTAGTCCATCAGAGTTGTAGCTGAGCAAGAAAAAAGGTGAGAAAGATAGGGTTCGTTATTAATTTGAAACATTTGGGAATGATTTAGTGATACGAGTCGTCAATTGATCGCCTTCAACGAAGGCTCTATCAATACTCTTTTATACGCTCTATGAACGCGGAAGTATATTTTGAATTTCCTACCAAACATTTGTAGAAATGTTATGCATCATATAAAGTATATTTCACGTCGGACTGGACTCCTTTAAAAACTGAGCACTCGAATCGAACAAGATTATTTTCTGCATTTCTGTATGGATTGAAATAAGCACCGTGCAATGACATATCTAAAATATCCAACAACTACAGCTATTCTGTCGATTACTTTTTGTGATTCCTGTTTCGACCTCTTGTCGTTGCCATAACGATCGGTTCACACTTTTCGACTTGTATTTGTAGGCTCGTTAGATTGAGCAGCATTACTCTTTGCAGCAACATCATGACAAATAACGCCGTAGTTTGAGCAGCCATCGAGAGCACGCGAAAATTTCGCAAGGCACAATTCAGTTATTCGACCCAGTAGTCGGAATTTCATTTATTTAAGGCTCATTCTTAACTGACTGGGAGATTGATTATTGACTGCTTCATGAATGAAGCCTGCGCTGAATAGGAAGAAAATCATCACTTATATGACTTGTTGGACTTGGTCATCAGGATGACGTCAGACCTCTCTGTTCTCGAAAATTCTTCATTGTTTCGATTGCTTGTTGAACAGAGGAGCGAGGGACGGTGGGGGGGAGGGGGGTTGCTCTATCTGCATCTAGTGACATCCTCGTGCCTGATGACAAGACATGTAAGGCGTAGCATGCTCGTGGAAGTTTGACGTCACAGATCACATGTACGTTGTTAAAATGGCTTAATTAGGAGTGCTATCTATTTCTCTTTAGCTCGTAAATAACCAGCGGTGAAACTTGTCCCTGTTTGTCATCAAAGAATCGATTTATACCTCTATGGTGAGCTTTCATCGGAGGATCCTTTACTTAATTACAGATCTGAGTGGCTGAATTTGTTTTAACCCAGTTATATAGAGCGCAAAATAAAAAGTAACCTGTATGTAACAAAGAAATAACTTGACTGAGAAGTAGTAGGAGAATTGGTTGCCGTCAAAACTGTGATGCGTAATTATGCAAACGTTCATGGCCTTGTAAGTAAACCTACAGTAGCTAAAACGGTATGATGAAGTCCCGGAAGTAAACGTTAGGCTGTAATGAATTGTTTCTAAAGCTATACGGTTAATTTTGTACTAAAAAAAACATCTAGTGATTTGACCAACCTCTTAGAATCTTGTCACGTCAACTTCCAAAGTCACGCGAAGACGTAATGGCTTCTGACTGGATGAAAAAGCCTTATCACATGGGCGTTCGAAAGAGTTGAACAACTTAAGTTGATTTCTGGGTAGTCAACATGTCGAAGTTTAATTATTTTAATCCTGACTAAAAGAATCGCTCTTAATCTTCTTAATATGTGAACGATTTTTCCTCTCCTTTCTTTCTTTTTTTCAAGCGATAACAGAAACAACATGTTATTAAACAGTCGATTTAATATTTAGGGCATAGTCTTTTGTATCAGTTGAAAAGTGTGAAGAAGAAAGTAAAGGAAACAACCTTCCATTAATCGCCATACTCAACAGCGGCGTGCTGTTATGTCACGCTATGTGAAAATCAGTAGTCACGCGATTAATGAAGGTGATAACCAAATCTAATTGGATGAATGCCTGACCACGTGCACGTTCAGAAGAAGTAATCGATCTCAATAACTTTCTTAAAGTTTTTTTAGAGTTTATTGGACGGCATGACTGTACTCGATCAGAGTTGTAGCTGAGCATGAAAAAAGGTGAGAAAGAAACGGTTAGTTGTTAATTTGAAACAATTGGGAATGATTTAGTAATACAAATTGTCGATTGTTCACCTTCAACGAAGGCTCTATTAACACTCTTTTATATGCTCTATGAACGCGGGAGTATATTTTGAATTTCCTAGCCAACATTTTTAGAAATGTTATCCATTAGATAAAGTATATTTCGCGTCAGACTGGACTCCTCTTTATGAACTGAGCACTCCAATCGAACGAGATTATTTTCTGTATGTATTGGAATAAGCAACTACAACTATTCTGTCTATTACTTTTTGCGATTCCTGTTTCAACCTCTTGTCGCTGCCATAACGATCGGTTCACACTTGTCGACTTGTATTTGTAGGCTTGTGAAATTGAGTGGCATTACTCTTTGCAGCAGCATCAGTGACAAATACTTAATGCCGTAGTTTGACCTGCCATCGAGAGCACGCCAAAATTTCGCATGGCACATTCAGAGATTTGATCCAGTATTATTTCATCGTCGGAATTTAACTTATCTAAGGCTTATTCTAAACTGACTGGGAGATTGATTATTGACTGCGTAATGACTTAGGTCTTTGGTTTCCGATGTCTTAGCGAGTTTAAGTGCCGCTGCACTGAATAGTAAGAAAATCGTCACTTATAAGATTTGCTGGACTTGGTTATCAGGATGATGTTAAGACCCCTCTGCTCTCGGAAACTGTTGTTTCGATTGCTTATTGGGCAAAGGGACGCGGGGGGGGGGGGGGGTAGCTCAGTGACATCCTGATGCCTGATGAAAATACTTGTAAGGCGTAGCATGCTCGTGGAAGTTTGACGTCACAGATCACATGTACGTTGCTAAAATGGCTAAATTAGGAGTGCTATTTTAGTTCTCTATAGCTCGTAAATAATCAGCGGTGGAACTCAAGGAAAATTCTGTAAGAGAAGTGAATTCCAAAATATTTCAATAATCCCTAAATCTTTACCGATTGAAATGTCAAGACGACGTTCATTACATCTTTGGCTGCGTTCAATATCACTACATCCAGACTGCTTCTGGCACCTCACGATAAAATATGACTGACCACAAGGCAAGCGTTCCTTGTGCGTTCCAGCGAAGTTTCGTAGACAAGGAAAAAATGACATTGCAAATCCATTCTCTGATCTCTAAAACTGTACTCCCCTCGTTGTTAGAAAGGTAATTTTTTTGAGATAGTGTGAAGCTATATTTTGCTCGTTGCTTTGGTAGCGCGTGATGTGACCGCGAAACTTCTCCCTGTTTCTCCTCAAAGAATCAAGTTATATCTCTATGGTGAGCTTTCATCAGGGGAGCCTTTACTCAATTACAGATTTGAGCGGCTGAATTTGTTTTAATCTGGCTATGTAGAAAGCAAAATAAAAAGTGACCTGTATGGAACAAAGAAATAACTTGGCTGAGAATTAATAGGAGAATTAGCCGCCTTCAGAACTGAGATGCGTAGTTATGCAAACGTTTATCGCCTTGTAAGTAAACCTACAGTTGTTAAAAAGGTATGATGAAATCTCGGAAGTAAACATAAAGCTGTACTGAATTATTTCTAAAGCTATACGGTTGATTTTGTTCTGAAACAACATCTAGTGATTCGACCAACTTCTTAAAATCTTGTCACGTCAACTTCCAAAGTCACGCGAAGACGTAATGCCTTCTGATTGGATAAAAAGCCTCATCACATGGGCGTTCGAAAGAGTTGAACAACTTAAGTTGATTTCCATGAGGTTAAGGCTGTTTTTCACATTTTAGCGCTCAAGGCGATCAGATGGTTTACAGCTGAAGGTGAGCAACAAAAGGCAAATTGGGAATGTTTATCGTAACTATCTGAAATAACTGTGACTGATGCACTGATGGGTATAGTCGTGTAAACTGTTAGATAAGACAAATCGTTCTGGGCACTCTTTTCAAAGTTACAGGCGGTAGTGCTCATCGATTTTCCAAGCTCATGTCTTGGAAGGTCTTCAATCAAATATGATGTACACATGTCAGCACGAATCTTGTATCTGTTGGCTTAGCTCGACAATCAAATCAGATCATTTTGTCCAGTTTACGTAAAATCTGCGACGTTTTACACCTTTTATTTTGAGAGATGTTTGAAACTTCATGTGTCGCTAATCTTAAAGATCGATTTGTCAGTATGGTAATGGCGTTATTCTTCACGAGGCAAACTTCCGAAAACTCACAGTCGAAAGGCTTTCACTGAATCGACTTGTCTGTCTTCGATTCAAGGACTTAACGGCGCAAAATATAACAAATTCTCGACAAACCCTCAGGACTTATTTTTTCTCGATATGACGCCGACTCCCGAAAAAAAAAAAAAAAAAAAAAAAAAAAGATACCTCACATTTAATGACTGACTTATGTGTGTGGGATGTATAGACTCCGTTGTGGTGTGTATATCGTGCAAGTGTTAATTTTCTAGGTGGTCAACTCGTCTAAATTATTTTATTTTGTCCTGACTAAAAAAATCGCTCTTAATCTCCTTAAAGATATGTGAACGGTTTTTCCTTTCCTTTCTTTTTTTTTCAAGCGATAACAGCAACAACATCTTACTCAATAGTCGATTTTATATTCAGGGTATGGTCTTTTATATCAGTTGAAAAGTGTGAAGAACAAAGTAAAGGAAAAAACCTTCCATTAATCGCCATACTCAACAGCGGCGTGATGTTATGTCACGCTATGTGAAAATCAGTAGTCACGCGATTAATAAAGATGATAACCAAATCTAATTGGATGAATGCCTGACCACGTGCACGTCTAGAAGAAGTAATCGATCTTAATAACTTTCTTAACATTTAGAGTTTATTAGACGGCATGACTGTACTCGATCAGAGTTGTAGCTGAGCAAGAAAAAAGGTGAGAAAGAAACGGTTCATTGTTAATTTGACACATATGGGAATGATTTAGTGATACAAATTGTCGATTGTTCACCTTCAACGAAGCCTCTATTAACACTCTTTTATATGCTCTATGAACGCGGAAGTATATTTTGAATTTCCTACCAAACATTTGTAGAAATGTTATACATCAGATAAAGTATATCGCGGATCAGACTGGACTCCTCTTTATGAACTGGGCACTCCAATCGAACAAGATTATTTTCTGCATTTCTGTATGTATTGAAATAAGCGCCTTGCAATGAAATTTCTAAAATATCCGACAACTACAACTAAGCTGTCGATTACTTTTGTGATTCCTGTTTCAACCTCTTGTCGCTGCCATAACGATCGGTTCACACTTGTCGGCTTGTATTTGTAGGCATGTTAGATTGAGTAGCATTACTCTTTGCAGCAGCATCAATGACAAATAATTAATGACGTAGTTTGAGCAGCCATCGAAAGCACGCGAAGTGATTCGACCTAGTATTATTTCATAGTCGGAATTTCATTTGTCTCATTTATTTGAGGCTCATTCAGTTGAATGACTGGGAGATTGATTATTGACTGCTTAATGACTGAGGTCTTTGGTTTCCGTTGTCTTCGCGAGTTTAAGTGCCCCTGCACTGAATACTAGGAAAATCATTACTCATAAGATTTGTTGGACTTGGTCATCAGGATGACGTTCAGACCTCTCTGTTCTCGAAAATTCTTCATTGTTTCGATTGCGTTATTGGACAAAGGAGCGAGAGGGGGAGGGGGTAGCTTTATCTGCATTCAGTTACATCCTTATGCCTGACGACAAGACATGTTAGGCGCAGCGTGCTCGTGGAAGTTTGACGTCACAGGTCACATGTACGTTGTTAAAATGGCTAAATTAGGAGTGCTATTTTAGTTCTCTATGGCTCGTAAATAAGCGGCGGTGGAACTCAAGGAAAATTTGGTAAGGAAGGTGAATTCCAATATATTTAATGAATTCGTTAATATTTACCGATTGAAATGTGGAGACGACATTCAATACATCTTTGGCTGCGTGAATGTCTCTACATTCAGACTGCTTTGCAAGTCACTATATTTTGCTTGTTACTTTGGTAGAACGCGCGTGATGTGACCGAAACTTCTCCCTGTTTCTCCTCAAAGAATCAATTTAAACCTCTATGGTGAGCTTTCATCAGAGGATACTTTACTCAATTACAGATTTGAGCGGCTGAAATCGTTTTAACCTGCGTATGTAGAATGCAAGATAAAAAGTGACCTATATGTAACATAGAAATAACTTGGCTGAGAACTGGTAGGAGAATTGGTTGCCGTCAGAACTGAGATGCGTAATTATGCAAACGTTTATCGCCTTGTAAGTAAACCTACAGTTGTTAAAAAGGTATGATGAAATCCCGAAAGTAAACATTAGGTTTCAATGAATTATTTCTAAAGCTATACGGTTGATTTTGTAATAAAACAACATCTCGTGATTCGACCAACTTCTAAGAATCTTAATTGTCACGTCAACTTCCAAAGTCACGCGAAGACGTAATGGATTGGATAAAAAGCCTTATCAAAGCGTTCCTTGTGCGTTCCAGCGAAGTTTCGTAGACAAAGAAAAAATGACATTGCAAATCCATTCTCTGATCTCTAAAACTGTACTCCCCTCGTTGTTAGAAAGGTAATTTTTTTAAGATAGTGTGAAGCTATATTTTGCTCGTTGCTTTGGTAGAACGCGCGTGATGTGACCGCGAAACTTCTCCCTGTTTCTCCTCAAAGAATCAAGTTATATCTCTATGGTGAGCTTTCATCAGGGGAGCCTTTACTCAATTACAGATTTGAGCGGCTGAATTTGTTTTAATCTGGCTATGTAGAAAGCAAAATAAAAAGTGACCTGTATGGAACAAAGAAATAACTTGGCTGAGAATTAATAGGAGAATTAGCCGCCTTCAGAACTGAGATGCGTAGTTATGCAAACGTTTATCGCCTTGTAAGTAAACCTACAGTTGTTAAAAAGGTATGATGAAATCTCGGAAGTAAACATAAAGCTGTACTGAATTATTTCTAAAGCTATACGGTTGATTTTGTTCTGAAACAACATCTAGTGATTCGACCAACTTCTTAAAATCTTGTCACGTCAACTTCCAAAGTCACGCGAAGACGTAATGCCTTCTGATTGGATAAAAAGCCTCATCACATGGGCGTTCGAAAGGGTTGAACAACTTAAGTTGATTTCCATGAGGTTGACATTGTTTTTCACATTTTAGCGCTTAAGGCGATTAGATGGTTTACAGCTGAAGGTGAGCTGCAAAAGGCAAATTGGGAATGTTTGTTGTAATAATCTGAAATAACTGTAAATGATGTTCTGATGGATATACATCGTGTAAACTGTTAGATAAGACAAAGCGTTCTGGGCACTCTTTTCAAAGTTACAGGCGGTAGTGTTCATCGATTTTCCAAGCTCGTGTCTAGGAATGTCTTTATGAAGTATAATGTACAGATGTTGGCTCGAATCTTGTATCTATTAGCTTAGCTCGACAATCAAATCAGATTATTTTGTCCAGTTTACATAAAATCTGCGACTTTGTAAACCTGGTTTTTGAGAGATGCTTGAAATTTCGTGTGTTGTTTATCTTAATGATCGATCTGTCAGTATGGTTATGGCTTTATTCTTCACGAGGCAAACTTTCAAAAACTCACGGTCGAAAGGCTTTAACTGAATCGACAAACAAATACTATAATTTGTCGCTCCATCTTTGTGTGTTCGACCTGTCTGCCCTCGAGTTAAAAAAACCCCACAAATTCTTGACAAACCCTTGGAATTTTTTTTTCAACTGCCATGTGACTAACAAACAACAAAGCAAAAGAATTAACACTCAAGGGTGCCAGCAGTGACATGATCACTAACTACCCCAAAAGCACAAAGACTATCGCAAGATCTTCTTTTTATTTGACAGATGTGTCATGACTCCCTAATTATTGCAGATAACGAATCATAAGGTGCTGCAGAGTTTTTGAGCCAGCCGAAAATTTTACTTGTTGGAGGTCTATTCAGTAACTGGTGGGAAACTTACAAGTCACACGACCAAAGACGAACGCGGTCATACGCGATTCAGGGGAAGCGGCGGTGAGTGAATGTGTTCTGGCCCCAGGACAATACATTTTTTGAGACAGTTCAAACATAATATTTTCTTTACAAATTCTTGTAGCCATTACTACATAGGAAAGTTAACATGCATATTTAAAGCAAATTAATTTGCTGGAAAGAAGCAGCACAGCTGATCTTGCTCACTTGCTTTCGCAAGGGCGACTGCACCTAAATCGTGGAGACAGTGATCATATTGCTCTAAAGAACTCTCTTAGTCGGCCACAGTGCTGGTTAGAAGTTTTAGCAGTAGATTAAGAGGATTAGGGAGACATGTCTGTTAATACCAAGCCTGCACAGCAGCCGTAATTTTGGCGAGCGAGTGTTCTGTGTTCTCTTTACGAGAATTATGGCCGCCATCTTTGATTTTATGGCAGCAAAAGACTGGGGAGAGGAAGCAATTTGTACCAAGGGGGCGGTCGATGGTCAAAAACACGCGCTGAATGCGATGCTGAGTGTTGGACTTTGTAAGCTTAAAATCACATTAGGCGATATGTAAATAGGTTTTTCGAATTTGTAGAAGGATTTCCTTGTGGTTTTTGTACTGGGGTATTTCTGGGATGTGTTAACTTTGCTTGTTTTCTCATTCTTATCACAATTTTTTTCATTTATTCACAACTTTTGATTCTACTTGTGGTAACTGTGTATTTCATATTTAACCATTTCATTGTAAATTTTGTGTACCCTCAGAACATGACGTCTCCGTTTGTTGAGCCTCTCCCCAAAAGGAAGAGAAAGAAAGGTCCTGATGATGAAATCATTAAAAATGTCGTTGTCTTGAAAAGTAGTCAAGTTCGTGAAAAGGATGGTGTTGTGTTGATGCCCAAAACTACTCTCGACATGTCCGGAATAAAGAAATTGGGACAGTCCAGGAAAATAACGTTTACAAAGAGTACTTCATCAGGAGATTTGCAACGAAAACTGGAGGAAAAGTTTCCTTTCCTTAAGGAAGCCAGTGGAAGGTATTTTTAGTTAGATTGAAATACAGGTGTACTTTGAAACTTAATGAAACATTCACACACAGGCATTGGTGTTTTGGATTTCATTGCTGGGAGTTGAAAATATCACGAGATCTTTTGAGATGTTACATTTAATAGTGAACGAGGTAGAACAATGTAGGGGTTTCACCAGTGTGATGTAAGGGGTAAATTTCTGGGGAGGTTTGAAGTGGCATTGCCATGTGCTTTGGCTCAATTTGCTCTGTTACCTTACTAGCTTTGTCTCCCTCCCACTGTTCCTCTCTCCCTGATCCAGCTTGCATTTTGGGTAGGAATTCATTGCACACACTGCTTTTCACTTGACAGGCACCTGGAGAAGGATCATGTGTGGGTTGCCATGGTGATCTTCTCTCTTCTGTGGAGATTGCTACCCTGACCTTTGTCACTATTTTAGCAACATTGACCCTTCAATACTTTTGACAAGGTCTTTTAATAACATATTGGAAAAATTATTAACAAACTGTGTAGAGAATAATACACAGGTGCATAGGTTTTAGAATTTCTCTTTGAGTGTTAAATTACTCAATATCTCACAAGTGAGATATCAAGTTGAACACCAGATTTTAAAAAGTTGAACAAAAGATATTGAAGAGTATAGCAACATTACTTGAGAGAACAGTGGCAGTATCTCTTTACTAATTGTTTTGCAAACTTTTAAATGCAGATTTTATTGTGCAAAAGCAGTGGAAAATAGATCAAAATTGGACTTTTGTGGTGATCGTTGTGTATGGAGTGGGGCATTCATCAATAAAAACATTACAGGGAACTCAGCACTTTACATCTATTGTGAGGTTTGTAATGATGAAGTTTTTCTCAATTGTGATCAACATGCTGATGTATTTTATACTGTATCTGCATTTAAAAGTAGCTTTCCTGAGAAATCTTTGGAATAGCTGTACTCTTAAAGATTACTTCCTTGAAATTTAAGCATTTGGGTAATCATGAAAAGAGAAATTAAAGTTGGAAAGTTATAATTCCCTACAGAGAATATAACAAATTCTTAGTTCTCAGTAATTTCAGTAAAATTCTTGTCAACTGTTTATTGTATTGGAATAAAGAGATTTATGTTAACCCTTAACTCCCATGATCTGATTGTTAATTCTCCCCTCTGGCAGCTACTCATTTCCTTGTGAGTTAGTGACAGGAATATGGTGTTAGATCAAGATCACAACTTGTATGTGATAAGATTGGGTATTCTTATTACCTGTTTGTTAGATAATGAAGGGGTATGTTAGGGAGAAGGTTAATCACTTCTATAAGTTAAAAGGGCCAAGATGTGCCCTCTCTGTATACTGGTTGAGGAGATGCAATATCTTTTACCTCTGCAGTATAGTTATGGCCTTGTATACAAGTACTTGTACTTGCTAAAATCTTGCCACTCCTATAAATAAGGACCGTGTCAGTCAATTAACTCTATTGCTTTTCAGTGAGGAATGTTACATGAACAAAAGGACTGCCAAATTCAGACTTGTAATTAGAACACATATGAATGCTTGCTTTTCTTTAGAATTGTAATTAATAACCTTCTTAAAGCTAGCTATTGTGAAGAATTAGTTTTTTGATCAGTTGTCGGAGAGTAGGGAATATAAGAAAGGTTTTTTTAGAGTTTCATTTTCATTTTGTTACTCAAAATATGTGGTAAAATTTTGCATAATCAAAATACATGTTTCCTACAATTATTTCTTATTATGAAATATAGTAATTGCATTGCTTCAAGCTTCTATTGTTTTGATCATCATGCAGCTAGAAAGAATTTTGGCAACTAAATCTGCAGGGTATATTTTAGTATTTTGTCTGAAGTCAAAACGATTTCGTGTAACCCTTTAACCCTTTACCCCTTAAAAGTGATGAGCATCTGGTTTCCCCTTTTGAAATCACCCCTGAATCAATCTTGAAGGTCACAAGAATAGAGGAAATGATTTACAACTAAAGAAGCTCTTGATTGTTAGACACATTCTACATGTCAGCACCTTAGGAAACGTACAGAGAACAGCATGAAGAATATTCTTACTGATGTTTGGGTGTAAGTGGTAAAAAAATTACTCTAAATTGGCTACATTGTTTTCTTCTCCCAAGATTTGCCTCTTTAATTTCTGCATGGTTGCCTTAAATCTGCAAAACAGATTGCCATAGAAGACAGGTTGTTTAATTATCTCCAGTGTAGTTTGATGTTCTATATTGTTTTTGTTTTCCTCTAAGGACCAACATTGTGCTTTTGGTGACTATTTCATTATTTTATGTTGTTATATGGTGCCTTTCAAGAGAATGGTTGCCAGGAGTCTGAGTTGATTTGTATTTGTTTCATGAAGACAATAAAAAGTCCCCTTGGGTCACTCATAGATATAAAAATTGCATGGTGATTTGTAACATGAATGACAGTTTGAATCTCCTTTTGATTAGGAAGAGAAAGAGGGAGATTCTGGCCATTACTCTTCAGACCCTGACTTGCCAGGTGCTCCTGTGTATGGAAATTGCCTTGTTACTGCAGCACCCCAGGGGCGTAAAAGGTTTGGAAGTGAACCTTGTCCTGCTGCTGAGGGTCTGATTGACAAAGAGACATTGAGAGCAGTTGAAAGCCAGACGTGTGGAACAGTGAGAGAAAGTGACAGAAATTACAGGCCTTTTGGTCAGCCGGAAGGTGTCAAAACACAAGTCTGGCTTAGTAAGTGTCTTACCCACTGCCGTCAGTTCACCAACATTCTTAAGTTTAGCTATCAAAAGTTCTCAGGTTCACTGAGTAAAAAGAAGGAAATATTATGTAATAATAAAAATTTGTATTCATTCCCTTGCAACCTTTATTAGTTTCTCTCTATTTGTTGAATGAATATAGTTCTCTAACATGTAATTCAATGGTTCTATATTACTTTTGCTTACTGTACATGAGAAATTTGTTGGTAAGTGTTTAGCTGGCATGTGATCAAAATATTTATTATAGGTAACACATAGGGGACAATCTACATAGCACACAAGGTGTTGTCCACTCCATGAAAATATCAAAATATCAGTCTTATCATAAGTCTAGTTGATGACAACTGTAATACTGAAAAGTATGTTGAGTATGAACAGGGAAGCAGTGTTGATAACAACAATGAATAGATAATCTATTTGAGTATAGTCACAAACACATAAATGCATACAAAGTGGATTTGTAGTGCGTAAGGAGGTCATTGAGACCTGCAGGAAGTATATGATTAAACATTAGTGTAATACTTGTAATCAAGAAAATTCAGTTCTTTGAGGAAAAAAAGTTGATCTTGTTAGATAAATTTATAAAATTATTTTGTGTGTGTGTAGGTGATTTACCGGAGCAGACAAATCCTTTCACTCTTGCACCTCTCTTGGAAAGTTTACAAGTCTGTTGTAAAGATATAGAGATCCAGAAGCCATATGACCAGGCTTCAACTGAGACATTGACAGTTAAAGGGAGTCAAAGGGCTCAACAGAATACATCTGTGACTGTAGGGGATTCTGACAATCAGGTAATCGTGTACAAAAAAAGATAAGTTAAAGCTCAATTTATTCCACTCATGTTTGTAGTATTTCAACTGAAGAATAATGAACAGCTGTAATTTTTAGCTGTGGTAAATTTAAGATGCAAGAAATATGCTGCACATTGAGCTCAAACAAACTATTGTACAACAGTCAACCACACTTTATATGAAGAATAAACAATGAATGAAGTGGAGTTTAAATCATGAGAAGGTAATCCTAATTTTGATTGTTGAAGCTAATTTCTATGACTTTGTATGGAATACACTCCTGTTATTTTGTGTGATTCTCTTGCTAACACAACTCTAAATGAAAACTCTGCAGAAGCATGCAGTGATTGATTGACAAACAGTTGTTTTGTGGTCACAAAAACATCCATGGTAGAAACTGTTTAATGGGTTGTTAAATAAATAGCTTTAGGGCTTTGGGGGAAGCTAAAAATTTGTTTGGTTGAAGACCTAATAAACAAATCAAAGACATGCAAGTTTATTGAGAGTGGAAGAATTTTCAGGAAAAAGTAATGCTGGAATGTTCAAAATGGGAAAATAAATGATTATATGTGGTTTGAATTTGGGATTGTCTGCTAATAAAAATTAAGAAAAGACTTTGTTGAAAGAAGGTTTTGATAATGAGCATCTGGTAGAGTGTGCATGGTGCATGTTTTGATGGCACATTCATCTCCACATCTGTGAAAAATTGAGTTGTTCTCTGTGTACTGTGTGAAATGAAAGTGAGTTAAATTTGGCTTTCTCTAAAAAATGGAATACTGGGTTATAGAACCCTTGCGAAAAGGCTTTTGGAATTCCTAGGAATTCCTAGGAATAAAGGTGTGAATTTTCATGGTAAATTCCGACTGGGAATTCCTAGGAATTCCCAACCATAACTCTGGTTCTAAAAACCTAGAAATTCCTAGAAATTCCCAGAAATTCCAAGTTTATAGCCAACAGGACTTGGAATTCCTAGGAATTCCAACTCAGAGAACCAATGACTTTCACTGAAAAGCTGTAAATCTAAAAAATTCCTAGGAATTTCTGGGAATTTCTGAGAATTTTTGGGAATTTTTAGGAATGTTTAAGAATTACTGGGAATTTTAAGCAAAAATTTGAGGCTAATGATATAAAATAAATATTTTAAATTAAAAAAACCCAACTAAAATTCAAGTATTCAATGAAATTTATTTAGAAGCTTAATTAAGGCTTACATGTAAAATATTTTTGATTAATTATTAACATCAATGTGTGGTAATATTAGGATGGAATTTGATTTATTTTTCTTTTCTTTAAAACTTCATACGGATTAATCCTCCATTACAGCTATTCATATAAAATAGTTCTAATCAATCATTAAATTTGGTTTGACACAAATTGTGAATAAAATCTGTTGATTCTTTTCCATAAAATACAATATCTTAAGTTATATTTATATAGTTATATTCTTGGGAGTGAAGGGGCTAATTACAGACAAATAAAATTGATTTTTTGATTAAAATCTTGTTGTAACTGTAACAATAAATTAGAATGAAGTTATCCTAAACTGCAAACTTAGCTGCTGTTTGTACTGTTTGTATTTTTTTTCCTGGGCTCACAATGAGTTGGCCTTGAATGAGGTTGGCAACAAGAACTTTGACCATTTTGTATTCTTTTATAAGATTTTGATGACGTAACGAATATCGCAATTTTTACTCACCACAAACTTTCAAAATCGTAGCTTTACAGATGGCCACTCGACCCTTGTTTGTACCAATCCATATGTCAACTGTTGTCCCTTCTTTTAACTCCACGGCGTCAACGACTTTCTTCTCTTTTACAACACTCACGCTATTCTCGTTTTCCCATTGAACCACAATAAAAGCTATCTTTAGAAATGTTATATTAAGCAAAACAGTTGAGAAAAAGGATCAACCGATGAAAAGTACATTCAAAGATGAGCGCCAAATGGAGTCTTCTTTGTTTCCGATCACGGGCATGATCACGTGGATCTTTTAAGACTTGTCATTGGCTAGCAAAGTGAATCCGCTGGCTTGCCGATTGCAAGAAGCGCCCAACTTTATTCTGACTTCTCCGACCGGTTTTCTGCTTCTAGAAGATGGATAGCTTGGTGATATAAATAAAGATGTGACCTCACTCTATGTAGAAATAATCGACAAGAATCGATCGTATTACAAATGCATGATTTGTGGCCGAAAGTTGTCGAGGAAACAAAGACTCGAAACTCACTTGAGTTGTGCTAATGGCAAAGGTGAGAAATAACACAAGCCAATCACAGTTTTGAATGCGACTACAAATCGTCTTTTACCCTCATATTTATAAAAGAAGGATACCACATTCGGAAGTATAAGAGATACATCGATGATCCCAGTGTACCAGTACCTAAATCTACAAAGCTTGACCGTAGCAAGCGTTCAGCAACACGTTCCAACACCGCCATCTCGATTCCTCAGTCAGTCGTTTCCATTGAACTTAAAGCAGTATTGACAACAGAATAGAGTGCGTCTTACAAAGGAGAAACATTAAATTTTGTACAAGAGACAGGAGTAGCTATATGCGATTACAGAGGTGCGTTGGAACTCTGGTCCACAAATAGTTATGCACTGCCCGAAGTATAAAACAATTTTGTTGATAGCTGACAGACAGAGAAGAACAACAAGTAAACTTAAGAGCTGTTATTATTGAAGTGTGACTAGCACTTTTCATTTTTATATAAAGAAGGACTTGTAATTTGCACCAAAAATAAAAAGGTGTAATTTTTTTTGGGGAGATCCAGTGATTGGGACATTTAAGAAATTAAGTTATGAAAGGAAACTTGGTTGGTACTTCTCACTACTAACAAGTCTTGTTGACAAATATTTTCAGATCAGAGTTTCAAATAAAGTAAATTGAAGACGTCATATAAAAGGTGTTTTTCCTCAAAGGGAACATTGACTACCTCTGTCTTGTCTGCATGCCAAATGTTTGCAAAGTGTGTGGATGATCCACAAGTATTGGAACTCTTACAAAAATGTTTTGTAAGAATAAAAACAACAAAACAAATTACAGCAATTAGTCATGAAAATAGAGCAAAAAACTGAAAAAAAAAGCAGCAACAACAATCATGAAAAAATAAAGATTAATTAGGTGTTGAATTTGTTTGTCTAAGGCATGAAATTTCTACCAAAAGTATTGTCAACAAAAAGTCTCTGACAGCGTTTGAGGCAACTGAGCTTGACTGTTCCAAGGTTTTCTAACAAAGGCAACCAGTAATGTAGGTTAGGGAAGTAAGATAACAATGTAATTATTGTTAATTATTGTGGAAGTTGGCAATTTCCATTTAACATAACTGACAGCTGGTTCATGAGAAAATCCATATTAATGTAAAGATTTACTAAAACTTAGTTTGAGTAATAAATTTCATGATCTTTAAGTTATAAACATGTACATGTATGTATATCTCTTGGTAAGTTTTGTATAGCATACCTTTTATTGAGCCAAAGTTTTAAGCCTCTGAAATTACTCTTTTTCTTAAAACCTTCACATTCAAGGTATTGAGAATTTCTTAGAATTTATGTGGACCTCAGGGTATTAAAATTACCGTATTTATTCGCCTATAAGCCGAGCGATTTTTCCAACAAATTAAACTGAGAACAGGTAAATTCTCGCCAAGGTAGGGGGTTCGGCTTATAGCCGAGTATTTTCGCCAAAAAAAATTTACGGGTGCTTAACAAGATTCGAAATTTGACAACATGAAAAACTGGCCAATCAGAAGCGGTCATTCCCACGGTTTGTGTAAACATTGCAACACGATCTGACAGATATCAGCTGATCGTAATCTCTAGCGATCTAGAATGATCTATGTTTATTCATAACCTACTTTTTGGTTGCATGTTTCCCGAGAGGGAAGCTCCTTTTGTTTTCGGTTTATGTTAATTCATCTCAGTTAACGACACGCGTGGAGTACTTTGCAATTATTAGGTTTCGGCTTATAGCCGAATGTTTTGTGTTTATTTTTTATTTCAATGCAACAGCTGCTGACATGAAAAAGTTTAGGGTCTCGGCTTATAGCCGAGATCGGCTTATAGGCGAATAAATACGGTACCTCAAATTCAATTCCCAGAAATTCCCAAGAGTTCCACACTTCTTAAATTATAGGTAGTTTGTAAAGCTGAGAATTCCTAGGAATTCCTAGGGATTCCAAGTCCTCACAAAATTGGAGTCTTCCTTTCCCAGAAATTCCCAGTAATTCCAAGCTTTTTAAACCAGATTAATTTGCATAGTTGGGAATTTTTGAGAATTCCTAGGAATTCCTAGTAATTCCTAGGAATTCCCAGAAATTCCCAGAAAACTGGGAATTCAGTTTGCAAGGGTCATTTGCATAATTGAACAGAAGATAAAGACCTCTTTCCCCAAAGTTTGTGGAAGTCAGTTCCTGGTGATAAAGCTCTTACTTGAACTGTGTGGCAGTTTATCCCCTGGAGTGCCATTTTAAGCATTTCAGTGGTTTGCCACTTTTTGTGATCCTTCCCACTCAAATCTTTGTCTTTATGGTGTGACAAAGGCAAGATTAAAATTTTAATTAAGCGTGCCACTGTGTTGTTTCGCTCACTGCTCACTGTTTATTATGTCATTTCACTTTTTTCCTATTTTCTTGTGATTGGTCATAAATGTCATAAAGTATGTTTTGTGGGACTCTGCTGCATTGCTGGTGGGCCAGGTAGATTTAGTCTTAATGCAGTTGGATAAACAATGAGTAGATGAAAACCACAAGAAGATCGATGTCCTTTGCATCAGAGAAACCATATCAAACTTACCTTTTAATTTTCTGGATACAGATCACTGAAGAGATAACTTCATTACAGAATGAAATTTACGATGGATCAATTTCTCTGGGTAAGTTTAAAGAAGTAACTGATCATGTCAGTGTAAACTTATGTTGAAGGAAATAGGATTTCAATGCTTATTCAGCCCTTCCATCAACATTCACTCTTCAATGCGTTATGCTTGATTAAACTTAAATAACTTCTTCACATAAGCAGAGATTCAAACTCCACATTGGCAGAGATGCTAACCTCTGGAAATAAAAAAATCTGGAGAAGGTTTTAATTTGGATACATTAATTTTTTGGGGCTCTCATTCCCTTTTTGTCACCTGTACAAGTTTCAGCTGATGCTTTATTTTGTAATAGGAGATTAAAAAAAATCCTGGTGTAGTGATGAGCATATCTGCTTGCTTTGAACTTTTTAGCTGATAATGACTTTCCACCTCAAAATTTGAGGGATCTTGAAAGCATAAAACAGTGGTTAAAGCAATATGATGTTTCCATAAATCCAAGAGAGAGTCCTTTGCAGGTAAAGAATTACCTTGTACAGTATATGCCAGTATAAAATGGTGCTCTTCTTTAATTAATTGTGTCATAGCATTGATCATCAAATTAAATATATTATTGTAGAAACATGCATTGTATCTAAACACCAACAAAAAAGAAAGTTTAACGTTGTCTCTTATCGTAATTACTTCTTGTTTGTCTTTATCAATGAAACCTAATACTCAATGCTTTAAGATTTGCCAGTTTCTTTTTGTAGTATTTTTTAGAGGACTATGTGAAATAGTTTGTGATGCATTTTTCACTATTTCCTGATGCAATTCTGTTAGTTTTTTTGCGATCAGAGTTCAGAATGAAGGGTAAATTAAAGATTGCATTCAGTTTCAGCAATTAATTTGCCTGCCTAACTGTGATGTGTAAGTTCAAATTTGAATAAGGTTAAAATAATAATTTGTTAGCACTGAATTTGTTTCCTACATCTGCAGGGAGGAGGCCCCTGTATTTTCACCTTCAAGCCTGAGCTGCCATCAGATGTTGGTGTGAAAGCTTCCTTTGGTAATTTAGAACCAATTATACTGGAGAAGACAAGTCTTGGCTACATTTGTAAAATTCCAGGTTTGTAAAATTATTAAACAGCATATACCAACCAGGAAAATGTTTTGGAATGAACCCCTTTATAATAAAGATTTAATAGAGACAACATTGATATTGGGTGTTCATTGACTTATAATTTCAGTTATCTTTTTTAACTACTGGTATTTTTATTTTCAATTTTTTTTTAACTTAGGGTAAAAATCCCATGAGCATTGTTTACTTAAAGCAATGTTGTGTAGATGAAAGTAATTGCTTACTATTACTGGCTTTCTTAAAATTGTGACCTTTCTCCAGTCACTTGTGGCAACTGAAGTTAAAAAATAGCATACAACACCGGTACCCATACCTACAAACTTGCTAAGCACAAACTACAAAATTGAGTTGCAAAAGCCCTGTTTTATGAAAAAGCTCTCAATGAAAAGCAAGTTTGTTGTAAGTTTTCTCTTCCTTCAAATCATCATTAGCAGCAGTAAAATAAATTAAGTTGTTATTTAAATGGAACATGCAAACATATGGGATTCTGCTATGAAAGATTGTCTTTCAAACCTACTTAAGTTGTGGTAATTTCTCTTTGTGGTAGTAAATGTAATTACATACCTTATCATCCATGAGATTTTTTTACAGAGACATATATCACTGTTTTATGGAGGTATTTCAATGTCTTTATCACCATTTTATCCGTAGCTTCACCTAAAATGACACCTGAAGTCATTCCAGTCCGGCTCATTTCAATGACCACTGGTGAAATTCTGGCAGAGACTTCTTTAGAGTACTGTGGAGTACTGTATGTGCGAAAAAATTTTGGTGGAAAGCCTGGAGCCTGCGGTAGTGGAAGAAGGGAAGATGGAAGCAGTGATGGTGGAGCCAGTGGAGGTGGGGCTAGTGGAGGTAGAAGCAGTGGAGGCAGAAGTAGTGGAGAAGGGGCCAGTGGTAGTGGAGTCAGTGGAGATGGGACTGGTGGAACTGGAGCAGGTGGATGTGGAGGAAAGGGATGTGGAACCTATGGAGGTGGAGCTACTGGATGTCAATACAGAATAGGTGAAACACAAACTTTTAAAACTATTAGTTTATTTATTGGAATTGAAACCAAATTCCCACTTACTGGTATTGATTAGTAACAATAACCAACAAACATTAAGGAATCTCAAAAAAAGCATAAAGAGGTAAGTTTCTAAATAAACTGTGGTGCTGTGTAAGTGGGAGAGTATAACAAGGTAATTTGACCCCTTGCTAAGTTTAAGTTCTCTATGTACAGTGTAGCACTCAGACTATGACAAATGAAAATGGCTCTGCTGGCTTTTGTTTTTAGGTAATTTGGTATTATCAACAAAGTTTATAAGTTAAAAAATTGGCCTTTGTAAAGAGTTTCATAGCTGATGTTTTGAGGATTAGCCCTTTGTCAGACCAAATGACAAAGGGCTAATGCTCAAGATGCCAGCTTTTTCAAAGCTCCTAACGGTGGCCAATTTACATTATCAACAGAGTTGATAATGTAAATTGGTCACCATTAGAAGAGAGTTGATAATACCTAATTACCAAAAAAATTTAAACTGCAGAGCCAATTTTTGACTTTTCATTTGTCATAGTCAAAGTACTACAAAGAGAACTTAAATTAAATAAGGGGTCTAGGGAAGTGGGAGAGAGAGGTAGTTGTTGACTTTCTGAAATC